CGTTTAACGATGTCCTTTGAACGAATCCTTCATTTTACAGCCCCCTCTATCTGTCCCATTATCCTCCATTAGCATTCGAACGGTGTCCCGTCCCATAAAAAGTCCCGTTGACATTTTCGCCGCGCGAAGACACGCACAAAGCAAGGTCAGTCGATGGGGCCTAAACCTCTTGTAAAAACGCGCTTAGTGGCATTTTTAGGGTCGTATTGATATGACAATAATTGAGGTGTTGAGCGTAAAAGGCAATTGAGGGAGATGTTACATAGAAAGAACGTTTCTTTTTTTAGAAATTTATCATAAAAGAATGATGAAATGTATTTTTTTATAGGAGAGGCAGGTGACTTTTACCAATAACTCCTAAAAGATAAAGACAAAGTGCTTATGATTCAATTCGATGTGACGTCATCACTAGTGGGACTTTATATTCTTATCATTTGCCGTCGATGCAACGACAACATTATACATTTAGCTAATATTATTGTTAAAAAGGATACAAATACTTCACTTTTGATAAACATTTTACGAAGAAAAATTAGTATTATTACAAAAATATTTTAATTTTCTTAATAAAAGGGCCACCTGACAACGTTGTGCTATAAATCCCGGCACGTGTCCTCTGTCATTTCGTCAGTTTCGCTAAGAAGCATGGTTGGGAAACTTAAATGGAAATGACAGTTCATTAAAAATAGTTTTTCCTCCAAGATGCAGAGGCGCAAAATATTAAAACTGTCAATATTAACAATGCAAATGTCAATATCTGACAATAATAAAATTTGATTTTTAACTGTCACTCAGAGACGCTTTTGTTGTGATTTTACGGTTTGATTTCGTTTTGATTTGTCGAATTATTGTAAAATTAAATTCCTTCAGAGATTTTGCCAGTATTCTGTTTTAGACAATGTTTTTTAAAAATGGTGGGACAATTTGAGTTTTGTAATAACTCTTAATTATTTTTTATCATGGAGTTTAATTGTTGTACACCTGGTTTCCGAAGGATACAATGGTAAGTAAATTAAACATATCTACTTACAGTTATAGATTTTTTAAATTAGTACTGCTAATAAATGCTACTTGCAGAGCAGTTATTTAATTTTTTTACGGTGCATGTAAGGAATTAAGGACGCGCGTTTTATATTAGCATGATCAGCAGATGATTACATCTGATTTAAATTGTTTTTATTATTTCAGGTCCCAAACGGAAACAAACTGGGAATCTTGCCTACACCAAAATTATATACCTAGCCGTTTCCAATTCACTTCAAAGGGAGGAAAATTATGTAAAACTGCCTGCTATTTGCTGAACACCGCCAAAGATTAAATTATAACTGTAACAACTTAATATATACTATTTCTAGTATCAATATATTTTTTAATTAATATCCGACATATAAGAACACTTTGTATGCTTTTAATTCAGTTGATTTATCGTTTATAATATGTTCGACCTAATTAAAAGCACACAAAGTGTTCTTACATGTATGTCTAAATATATTTTAAATTAACTAAAACAACCCCCCTTCCCCGCACCCCTCTCTTCCATTAGTATTTCTTCCTCCGTCTACCAGAGGCGCCCTTGTATAATAAAATTGAAATGTATTATAAGTTGCCTATCTATTTAATAGTATAAGTCTTTTATCTATGGCTAAGAAGCGTCGTGTTGTTTCTTAAAAGTTATAGATAATTCGATAAGTTTTGAGTGTTTTTAGTGTTACTGTGTGTGTAGAAAATTGTGCATAGTGTTTCAGCCATGCCTCAAATTTGTTGTGTGCCCCAAATGCCGTGGAAATTACGTGGGTGAACCTAGAGTGTCGGTGTTTGCTTTCCCAAAGGATGTCGCGGTAACAGCCAAATGGTTGACAAACATACCGCGGAAAAATTTTGTGCCGAATATGTATCATAAAGTGTGTGAACGCCATTTCCCAAAAGGTAGTATAATTCGAAAAATCTCCCAACGGGGTCCTAAAACAGGTAAGCTTCTTGAAGTAAATTTGCAAAGACCTCACCTGAAGGAAAATGCCGTTCCTACTATTTTTCCAAATTGCCCGATATAGTAAATATTGTTTTATATTCTTAAGTACCTAATATTTAAAAAGATCGTACAAGATTTTGAAGACAGTTTTCTCCAAGTGTTTAATAAAAAAACATTCTTTTCTAATTTAGTTTTGCAATATTTAATTCAACAAAACTTATTAATTTTTTTAAATGGATGTGGTGAACATTCTCCAGAAGCAATTGCAAAACTTATTCTTAGTCGCATATCAAATACCCTTATAAAGGATTACTGCGGTAAAAAAAAACAATACTTTAGAAAAGAGGAGGCAAAGGAAATTAAACACCCTTGTGAAATAGAATCTATATACCTAATTAGACACACTCATGGTACAAAGAATACAAGGTATGATCGATAGCGGCTCCAATTTCGTTCAGTTCGCGCATACCACCTGTGACGTCACTAGGAAAATAATGAATAAATAAAAAATAAAGAAAGTTGACAGGAGATCTGCATTTTTTGGGGTTATGGTTGTCTGCGTTATGGTTAAGAATTGTTTATTTTTAAGACTTTTTAGTTTGTTTAATTTAATAATTACTAAAACTAGCAGTTCCAAAAATATATTTAAAAATAATTATCTATTAACATGGATTTGGACGGTAATAATAGGTAAAAATACTAAATTTATTTCTATATTCGGCATAAAATTGTTTATTAGGTTTTTAGTTTGCGATGTTTATGGTAAATAATTTTCATGTTCATTGCCTCTGAATTCACATGAGGACAGAGATGAGGATATCTATGGAAAAGTAATCACAAGAGGAATTGTTACACCATTTAAAAAATGTTGGGAAGTTGTAGTTTCCCATCGAAAAGTAGAAAATGCCAATGCAGATGAATGTATTGTAATTGTGATAGAAGTAATTCCAAGGGTGAAGTCTATTATAATTAGTGACCTGTGCTTTTCTTTTTATATGTAGATGTTTCAGGTTTTGAGAATAAATCGGTTGAACGAAACCCAAAATTTAGAGGAAGTATTTGCATACCCAGAATATGACCATCAAGGATTATATAGCTCAAATTTCCTTTAATGGTAGGCAATTATTCAATGCAAATTAACTTTTTAAGTGACTGAAATATTAAATAGTTTACAATATGGTATATCACTAAAAATATATTACTTTTAGGTACAATTAGTGCCCGATACATTTCAAAAAGTAGAATATTATTTTATATTAAATGAGGTGTTGTACCAACAATCAATTTATATTAAAACCGGAGATTAAAAAATAACAGAATAAATAGTTCTTTTTTTATACTACAAAAATAAACTATAGAATACAACTTTTTTTTTGTATTTAAAAAATAAATAAAAAGTTATGTCCCGGCCGAGATTCGAACTCCGGTCTCTCGCTTCCTAGCCCGACTCCTTACGCACTGCTCCACAGTAACTTGCTTAGCGATAATTTAATGACGGTATATAAACAAAAAAACAGGTTTATAACAATATCTTGACGATTTGAACTGGCGCGCGGAGAGTGCTGACCAATAGCGCCAGTTATCACCTGTGACGTAGCGACCAACCTGCGCAATATCATACCTTGTATTTTTGTACCATGAGACACACTTACCTATTTTGACAAATCTACCTACCTTTGACGATCGGAAAACCGCGCCTAATTTGCGACAATGAATAGAAAAAGGTATTTGGTTTGGTTAGTTTAGTTGGTTTAGTTACTTATTTTTGTTCTTTGACGACAGATGGGTGAAATTTTACTCTGCACTGTCAATACGAGTAGTGTGATAAATCATGTTTTCTACACCCTTTAGAATATTAAAATGTTAATAGAAATGTAATTTAATTTTTAATAAATTCTTTTAAAATTGGTTAAAAATAATTTTTATTGTCAGGTCAATGATCAGGTGTTTCGAAAAATCTGGACCTAAAAACCGATGAGTTTTTCGGAAAAACTCTTAAACACGTGTATTTTATTTTGTTGTTTTACATTACGCTTGGACACAAATAATTTATTTTGTTTTTTAAATATTTTAAATTTTTATAAAAAATCATACAGGGTGTTCCAAAAAGTTGGATAATTGATTAACCACGATTCTGCTTAAATCTGCTTAATCATGTGCAGATTTTATCAATCTGCAGATGAAACGACAGAACATATTAAACGTCAGTGCAATAATCGTGTAAATGAGCAATTATTTAAACTAGGCGATGATAAACCAGTTAAAACTAAAAGTACTAAAAAATAGAATTTAAAACTAAATAAACATTAGATCTTAATAAACGTACTGTAAGAAATACCCTGTATATCGTAATTATTATCGAGGGTTGCCTATTTAGCGCCCCCACCACTTTGGCCCATCGGTTTTAGCGCCAAATTATGTAGGTTAGAATATGCAATTTACGGTAGAAATTGGCTTTGATGCCGGAACGGCTCTATCTCAGTTAGCTCTAATTAGCTGCCGGCTAATAACTCTGGCCGACAGTGAAAAAACCACTCTAAAGGAGCCAGACCCCAGCTCTAATTGAATTTTTGACACTTCTAGCTAATTTATTTTCATTTATTTCATAAGCAATTACGATTGGACGGAGGAAAATGTATATTTTTGTGTTTTATTGGGTTAAAACTGGATGGATTTTGGATAGAGACAATGTTTAACATAAATTTAAGATTAAAACTGTGCGTGTACATACTGATTTCATTCGAAAATCGACAACTATGAAACTATGAACCCTTCCCGGACACAAACGGTACATTGTGAGACAGGAAATTGTAGAGAGAAACAAGCCCTATAATATAGGATACTACATTTTAATGAACAGTGCTTTCCATAAAATCAATAAAATGAAAAATATACGAAATAATATACATGTACTGATTTCTTTCGAAAATCGACATTTATGAGACTATGAACCCTTCTAAGTTGGCAAGGGTATTCAGCATACACAAACCTTTATAAAATCTATTTACGATAATAATAGAAATAAACTCACCCAAAAATCCAGGTATCGCTCCCAAAGGCATCACGAACAAACTGACTAGCAAGTCAGCAATAGCCAAACTCAACAGGAAGTAATTCGTTACATTCTGCAGTCTCCTGTCCAATAGCACCGCCAAACAGACCAAAATGTTCCCCAAACCACCCGCTATAATAAAAACCACGACAAACAGAAAGCTCCAATCGTAGTGAGCCTTGGTCCATATTGTTTCTGTATAGTTCGGAGCATTATTGCATGTCCAGAAAACCTCCCCACTCCTATTGAACAGTCCGCAATTGACACTTGACGTTCGCACTATGAACTGTCGGATGTTTTCGCTGAAAAAATCCACGAGAATCTCTTTGGTGTAGTTGGAACTGCACTCGGAACATACGAAACGGTTTTGGAGCGAGTACTGGTCGTATTCGCAAAAATAATCTGCAAAAGTCGTTGAGTTGTCTGTCAGACATTGGAATGTCAAGGTGCTGTTGGATTGACAGGTGGACTGGAAGGAGGAAATATTTTCTAGGCATTTTGTGAAGTTTCCTGGCTGCGTTTGTGGTCCGAAGCTCATTGTTTACTTGGTAGCCATAGAGACGGATAATCTGGAACAAAATAGAGTCATTAAAAGAAACAGTCAGAAATAATATTTTTATATTTATACAGGGTGTTTAAAAAAACATGGGATGGGAAGATTCCTCACTTAAAAATAAGATTTATTTTTCATATCAACATAGGTCCGATTCTGCTTTGATTCCTAGCTACAGGGTGTTAAAATCTTAATAATCTTTCGATTTATGTGCTACATATTTTAATTCTAAAAAATTGTCGATAAATTTATCAGGGACGTGCGAATGGGTTGGAATTACTGGAATATTATTCAAAATTGAAACATGTGCGCCGCTGACTTTTTTTCTTTTTATATCAAAATTGTGTAGGCCTTTTAATGTCAATAAAATGTTATCTCTTGATATTTTGTCGAATTCGGCCTTCTTGAGATAATAATGATGAGATAAACGCAATTTTATTAATCACAATTAAAAAAATTTTATAATTTAAAATTATAAAAATTATTAACCACAATTAATAAAATTAAAATAGATATAAAATTAATAAATTATATATTTTACCTAATTTATTATTAAATATTATTACTATTAGTTATTATTACTATTAGTTCAACATAGAGAAATTTCAAATAAAAAAATAATGGTATTTAAGATAATTAAAAAAACCTAATTTTAAAAAGTTTTAACATCCTATAACTCTAAAACTATGCATTTCCATACCCATGCTTATAGGAACTTTTTTATATTCTTATATTCTATTCTAAAATAGGGAAAAAATATACGTCAATGCATCTAATTAGGTTAAAAGCTTAGGTAGTGGATAACACATTAATTAAATTAATTTTATTAAAGCATTTTTTACTTGCTTTAATTTTAAAAATATATAAAAAGTCTAGAAAAAAAATAACACCTGTAAAAATATGATAAACTGTTTTAATATAAATACTATTTTCAATTTATTCTGAAGAAGAAATTTTGAACCTAACCAACAACAGAGACAACTACTAAGTAGTTATCTCTACCAACGATTCGTGTGCTCTGTTTTTGTTTACATGGTTTGTTCATTATTTATAGTGATTTACACTAATTTTGTTAAATTATACGAATACTATCGTTGATTATTAGTTTGAAATAAATACGATAATCTCCTCCAACCAAAATGTGAGTTGCTTAACTCAAATAATTCTCCAACACTCTATAACACACTCTAAAAGTGCGTTTCCATCAAAAAACATTGGCAAACAAACATTCGCAACTGTTTGTGAATGTTTGAAAACGTTTGCAAATGTTGGTTCGTTTCTATTTTTCTCTTTTTGAACAGGACAAGAATTCCCGAATTAACAGTGAGCGTGTGAACATTTGTCAACGATCCGGAATATTTGCACAAAATGGCTTCGCGAAAAACAGCTATTTTAAATGCCGCTGCTTTTATTATAATGTGTGTTTTGAAAGAAAAAGGAGACTATGAAAAAAAAAAAGAAAAGAAAACAGGTTTTGGACGTCATACTTCTTGAGAAACTCAGTACAACTGATTCGTGATATAACAACATATGATAGAAGTGTCCTATTTAGGAATTTCTCTAGAATGTCCCAAGAAGACTTTCAATACCTAAAATCGGTAAAAAAGATACAAATTACAGACACTGTATTCCTGTGGAACTGAGATTGGCTATAACACTTCGCTTTTTAGCCACCGGAGATTCATACAACCGCCTTATGTATTTCTTTAGAGTTTCGAAGCCACTTATATCAAGAATTATTTCAGAGATTATTTAGCTTTCACAATGTCCACCGTAGTTTCCATTTTTTCTGCTATATCACACCATAATCATGTTTTTTTCAAATTTCTTGTGGTATAAATTATTGGTTGATTTCCATATTTTTTTCGGGTTTTAATCTATATAAATCAATCAATTTCAAGCACTTTTCATTATCACACTCCATTTTTAATTTTTATCGACACAAAATCACACGTTCAAATTCAAATGGTCCCTGTTTTAAAAAAAGTTTCGTTTAAACCTGTTTTCACAAAACGCGCACAAACAGCAAATCCCTTTGATGTACCGAGATCGGCCGGAACATCGCCAATCGGTTTGCGACCGTTCGCGAACGTTTGCAAACATTCTAAATAACATCTCTACCGGATAAATAAATGTGTTTGCAAATATTGCTGACCATTCGCGAACATTTGCAAACATTATGCGCGCTTAGCGGAAACGCACCTTAAAAGGCAACACATGAAAGATCTTCCTTTTACGCGACGGACCGTCCGTCGTGTTTATTCAAGATAGCCGTCGGACGAACTCCGTCGGATGGAGCATACGCGCCCATATGAAATTATTCATATAAACTCAGAGTACTTGCTCGAAGTTGCGGACGCTCCGTCGCGGACGCTCCGCTCCATCGGAAAACGCTGTTATCCCGCCTATATAGCATATTTTTTTATACAAATCGAAGAAAACACTATTAATAGACAATGTGAAGTCAACAAATCCCTTAATGACGAAGAAGAATGTGCCGATGAACTAATTTATATCTAGTCCAAAAAAAGTATAAACAAACACTTGTGCCTCAAGCAAGTTTTCTTCTCCAGCTTGTTTAAAAAACTTTAACTCTCATTTTCTCCATAATTATCTTCTAGGACTTGATCCAGTTCACTTCTAAACCCCTCAAATATTAAAAAGTGTCAAAAAAATTGCTCAGAATTACAAAACATTGTTCTTTTTCACCTTCCTTCAATATTCTTGATATTGTCCTCTTGTAAAAATACCGATGCAAGCAAAAGGCGAACCAATCGATTTGAAAATATACAAAAGCGTTCTCTCTACAAGCGACGAAAGCGCAAAAAGAAAAAGTTCACCAAATTCAGAACAACTTACCTTAAAAGGAAAAATTACCATAAAGACCTAACCGTGTTAAGGAGTTTGAAAAAAAATTGAGTGAGAATAGACCGGAGAAGAGTAAGCAAGTGCCGGAAAAATTTGCATTGGAAAAAAGTTTTGTTATTTGCTGGTTCAGCATTTTTTTATTTCTTTTTCGATAAACAAGAGAAATGGAAAAAATGAATGGGTCTCAAATTATTCGTATTTATTTTTTGAAATTTTGTGTATTTTTACTTTCAGAAAGTATTTCATAATAAAAGTTATACAGAGTTTCTGTAAAAATATTCCACGTGTTCTTTTTTACTCATATTTTGTTTATTGATAAACTATACGATTATTCGGTTAAATATTAATAAAACGATGCCCATATACGCTAAAGTTAACAAAGTCTACCTTTATTATAGTGCCCCAAATATTTGTTTAATATTAAAAAAGTTATAAAGATAAGAAGTAAAGTTAGTTTGGCGGCATATTTCGTCGCATTTTTTTTATTCAAATTAAAAACAATTTAAATTGTCTGTCTACAGTGTGTTTTAGGGTCAAGTAGTGTAAAAATGAGCAATTTTTCAAAAATAAAGGTTTTGGAAAATTGCTCATTTAGTAGTAGTATTTTGGTAGGTTGCGTTGCTTCTTCTTTTCAATGGAGTTTAATATTGAAAAGTATACTTTATTAATAAACTGTTAAACTCGTTAGACAGCTCAAGTGAAGATTTGCAGGTCCAATATTAAAACAGATCAATAATAAATAAACAAATCTAATCAATAATTATATTTTTATAGCTTATAAAACATTCACGATTACTTGTTGTCTTGTTTTTCATGTTTTCTTTAAATGTTCCTGATTTTAAGAAACAATGGCTGGCATGATAAGTTTAAATGGTCCTAAAAAGTCATTCTATTTAGTTAACGAAATTTATTTACCTTTACTGCCTACCTCCATTGCTTTTGGATGTAAATACAAAATATTATAACAAATTTTAGAAATTAAATAAGAATTTCACTCGAACTTCCAATATTTGCTTGATTTCTGTCACATAAATGACATTGATTGACAAACGAAACCAGAAAAACCAGCCTTCTCGCGCTGGTTAGTTTGGTGACAGTTATAACCGAATTTTTCAGAAACCGTGTACCGTAGTAAGAAAATGTTCAGGAAACCGATAGAAACGGAACATAAAACCATAACCAAGGTAAGCAACGGAATACACCCTAAAGAGTCAAAACGAACGACAATGACAATGTCAAAAGTACCTCTAAAACGCTTACTACTTCATACTGATGTCAGTTTCAAAAGTTTTAAACCTGAAAAAGAGACAATCAATTTGTAATTTCAGTTTGGTTTGGTCTGAGATAGAAGTTCTAGTAATTAATTATTTTCATAAGATTCCTAACCCCAAGAATATTTTGATGTAGTATTGATATAAAATAATGGTTTATAACTTTTGTTCTTGTAATTTATAACACTCTTTATCTCTTGATATAATCGCCAGCTTCGGCAAAATTGTTATTTATTTTAATTTGGCATGACCGTCCAAAATTTCCCAGTGAAAAACATTGTGAAGGACGATTCTGCGTATAGCCATGTTCCCGCTTGGCTCTGACATGTAAATAACTTTTCAAGCAGTTTTTGACCGACCACTTCACTTTTGATGAATATTCATCCGGATTTGCATCAAAATTAGGTCGAAGACAGTATACATGTGTGCGAGAATGCCTAACATCCAGTTTTATGGATCGCTACATAAGCCTATTGTTGTTGATCCCAAAATAACAGCAGCATCTTTATTTAAAAAACTGTTTTTTTCAAGCGTCACAAAAGTCAAAATTTAATCTACGACGCGACACGAGGGACGATCCAAAGAGATTTGATTTAATTTAAAATATCAGAGATATCCTCATAAAAATTAAAATTCAAAATTATCAGGTGTCCATATTAGTCGACGCCGTGGTAATCGTGCTTGTTGATTGTTTCCATTTTGACTTTGACGACTCAATTATTGATGTTCGATTTTGTGTTAAACGTTCAGTTTTAGCAAAAAGCAAAAAAAAATAATATGGGTGATTCTGATTCTGAAAGTGTCCCTTCGGATATTGAAGACATTGCGCAAAACGTTGTCGATTTCCTACTTCCCGAAAAATCAAGACAAACATACG